TCAGTGATCACACACGGCGTGAAATGAGGAATGGTCATTCAACTTCCGAGTCGCAGTCTGGATCTAGCGAGTCCCGGATCTTTAGTTTTCCTGTGTTACTCAAGGCATAGTGAATACCTCTGGAAATGGAGAAAAGGATATGCATGAACTACGCATAACGTGCAGAAAAGAATATGTGATTTAATTATAGGTAAGGAGAGGGACACAGTCGGTGGAAATGACGCGATGAGGGATAAGTGTTGCCTTGAAGTTTTCGATAATCGCCAAACCGTGCTTCTCAGTGTGATTCAAAAGTGGTACCTCTCCATAGTCTTGTCCGCGTTGAGGATGAGGAAAATCGACTGACTCGGAATTTCATTACAGTCTACTGACTGCCAGGGATAAATGAACATTGATCCCTTCTCTTTGACAACAAATGGCCGTTTAGGGCCCTGTAATGGAGAGTCCTCACTCACGATGTACCTCAAGCTGGCGCTTCACGTACCGGTAGCAGAGTTCCCAAGCAATTGAAATCCACTGCTTGAATGAAGTATTATAATTACATGCATTGGATTGTCGACACAAGTCTGCAAGAGATGCCGAAAGCTGATTAGAGCCATTCAACTCATGCAAAAAGGGAGCGAATGAAAATATGAATTATTCTCAAAGGACCCCAGCTCCGCGTAAAGTGCAGACGCAATAAGAAATTTAAACATTGAATTGAGGAGGTGTACGAGAGGGATTGGGGATGGATGGGTAGCATAACGTGAACGAGAAATAGGCGCGCGTGGAATATCTGGCCCTCTGCAAGTGCCTCCGCAGCCTCCACCTCTGCGTCGGCGGGCTTGTCAGCTGAGAAGGCAAGGGGTTAGGAGGGACGAGATAAGCGGCATTAATTAAGCTCACCAGAGTCTTGCACCAGAGCGTCAGGTTATCCCGGAGGAGCTGCATTATCAGAGTCGAATCTTTGTATCTCTCTTCTGACAGGGTGTTGAGCTCGGCGATGGCGTCGTCGAAAGCTTGCTTTGCGAGGCGGCAGGCACGGTCGTCGGTCGGGCGAGTTGAGAATTTCGTAGTAGAAGACGGAGATGTTGAGGGCAAGGTCCAGGCGGACAGGGTGTGACGGGGGGGAGCTCGGTGACGGTGACGTCGGAGGCGGCCTTGTAGGGCTCGAGCGACTTGTCGGCGTTGACCTTCCGCTTATTACAGGTAGTCACCCATCCTGGGAAGAAAGACAATGGTGTTAGCAAAATAAGCGCTCATGTTTGAAGTGGGGGGGTGGTGATTTCGATTCGATCAGATGAGCTTGTTCGAATTGGCGGGATCAAATATCGCGCTTTGACCACCTGGGGCATCGGCCATCAGGAGGCCGGTGCGGTTTGCCGGCCTTCGGCCCCGGGTATCTTGGCTGCGGTCATGTGGTTTGCCAAATGACGAGCTTTCACGGCGTTGAGAGGAACTCACGAAGATCTGGTAAATCCTCCAGAAGTGACGAGCTTTCACAACACAAGTTCTCAAACTCACGAACTTTCACCATGTTCACTGTAAGTGACGAACATCCGCCGTGCTAAGCGAAGTTACTAAGTCACGAAGATGGGGTGGACTCGCATAACATGTTCTGAATGGTAGTTGCTTACAACATTTCGACACTCACTCCCGCACCTACCTATCAAGTGTGAGTACCGTTCCAAAGCTGCCGATCTCGACTATCCAAGGATCAGTGCAATACATCAAGATTCAAAATTCCGATTACAGTATACCTTAACTTTCAACAACACACGGTGAATATGGGTGGGCATTCCCGTCTACTGCTATGTATCTCTGCCCGTCTACCCCTCCGAGACTCCCGGGCTATGGTATCTATCTGCGTCGTCAAGGAGGTGATCTGCTGAGTATGCCTCTGGTGTTGATGTATCGGTTTCCCGAATGACATGAGAGCCTTCAGGTAAACCAAAATCAATTTCGGTGGCAGAGGAATCCAGTACGATGAGGAGCACCTATATAGCCCTCATATCCCCTCTACTTAGAGGTGTTGCAAACAGAGTGCATCACCTCTAAGTAGAGTCGAATCGACATTAGGTCGCGGGTTTTAATAAACATCGTCTAAATAGCTTGCACACTACCATTCTGAGCTTGAGAACGGCAGTCCGGCTGTGACCGCTGCCATCACAATCACCATCAGGGCGCTCATCGCCATCAACGCGATCAGCGCCGGACCTGTGCTCCGCATCAGCGCACGCTGCCATCACCATATTATCAAAGCCATCAATCCCGCCGCCGCTGGGCGTCGTGAGCTCGCCGCCGGCCCCAGTAATTGCCCTAAAATCACGAAAATGATACAGTGCAAAGGTATGGATTCTTAAAAACTTTCTATCTCCACACATCACGTGGCGTCGCCATAGAAAGAGCTCAATTGTACCTTCTACTTCAATGTATGTATATATGGACTTCAAAGAAAAAGGCACGCGTCAAATAGTATATAAAAGGGGGCGGGGGGAGCAACGCCTCTAAGTAGAGGGGATATGAGGGCTATATGAGGTACGTAGAACAGGCGGGGGCAAACACGGACGACTTCAGACCACCGGGGGCAACTGCGCCGCGAGGGAAGCCGTCCCGCGCTCCACGCGCTCCGCCTCGGCGAGTCGGTCCCGGATACGCCGCATCACCTCGTCGTCGCGGTGACATGACACAGCCTTTGTGGGGGCCTTGTACCCGCTTCCTGGAGCTACACGACGGGGTGCTGGGCGTGGCATGGGGGAGGAGGTCGAGGCCCTGGACGCACGAGGCTTCCCTGCGTCGGAGCGCCGTTTGCGCGGCTTCTTCGTCGCGTCGCCCTCGCCTGCGATGTCCTTGCGCGCTTTTTTGCCAGCCGCTGCGCCCTCACCTTGCTCGACCGACTTGCGCTTGCGTGGGGCGGCGTTCGAGCGATCTCCGAGCGGTGTATACGCGATGAAGGAGCCGGCGGTGATGGGGATCGCAGCGGTGGTGACGGCGGGCGCGGCGATGGCGGCAGAGGGTGCAGCGCCCATGGTGGGGGGCGCAGGGCCGGCGGTGATGGGGATCGCAGCAGTGGTGGCGACCGAGGGCGCAGTGGCGGCGGTGGTGGGTGTGGCACCGATGGTGGGGGATGCAGGGCCAGCGGTGGTGGCGACCGAGGGCGCAGCAGTCGCGAGCAGTGGTGCTGTGGTCGGTGCAGCAGAGCGGGTGGAGGCGCGGGCAGTGGTGTGGTGGTTGTGGTGGTTGTCCTCCTCCTCTTCCTCGCTCGGCTCATCCTCCTCGGTCGGCTCGTCATCCTCCTCCTCCTCGTCCAACGCTTCGGCGTTGCGGCGACCCTGCCCCTTGCCCTTGCTGTGCTTTGCCTTCTTGGCGGCGCACTTGGAGTTCCCCGACCCCGATGGCTTGTGTGTGCCCCCAATGTCGTTGCGCCTCTTGCGCTTCTTGAGGAGGCCATTGGAGCTCTTGGCGCGGCGTGCAGCGAGGTCCACGGCGAGCTCGTCGACCCAGGAGATCCCGCTGCTGACCCAGGCATCGCGGAGGCGTCGCAAGTGCTCGATGTTTTTGATCTTGGAGGGGCAGGCCATGGCGATGTCGGTGGGCCAGCCGTTGATCCTCACCTTCCATGCCTCCCCCATGTCGACGTCCATGTGCACCCAGCTGACAGAGAGGGTGTCGCAGCGAGTGATGGCGCGCAGCTTCTCCTCCGCCAGCTTCGACAGCTGCGAGCAGAGGCTCTGGTGGTTATCGCGTTGCACCTTTTCTGTAGGTGCATGTCAGCTTTTGTCCCAGATACCTACATGAATCGAAAGACTTACCCTGTCCACGCGAAACCGACCAATGCTCGAAAAGCCGGAGGATGTCGACGGCGGGCTTCTTGAGCACTTCTATGCAGAAGGCGGCCGCATCGCCGGACTGCACCATGGTGGGCATCGCGGCATCGTCAATGTGGCCGCGTGTGAAGAAGCCGAACCCGCGCGTACCCGTCCTCTCGTAGAGGGACGCAAACTGCCAGCACATGTCAGCATGCCTGCTCGTGGACTGTGAAGGTGCAAGACGTACCTCGTCCTGCATGTCAGCGACGGTGGAGTGGGTGTCGACAGCAGCGGCGATATTGGTCGCACGCGCGCCGACGCGCTTCAGCTCACGGTGAGCGCGGAGAGCATCCACCATGCGCTCTTCTTTGTCCGCACTGGGGGGGTTGTTGGCGATGACATCGTCGGCGAGGGCGTGGAGCTCGGGGAGTTTGAGCGCTTTTCCCTCTGGAAGACATGTATGTAAGATGTGTTGTTTACGTGGTGACAGCAGAAAATACGTACCTGCCCTGCCGTTAACCGAGATGTTGTGAATAATCGCGTTGCGAAGGCTGATGGAACGCGACGTCTTGAATTGAGACGCGTTGATTAGGAGACTTTTGATGTACTCCGGCGTGCGATTGTACTTGGCGGCCAACTCGATGGTGGTCTTGCCGCGATATGCATAGAATGCGTCGAGATCCACGGCGAAGTTCTCGGCGTTGACGATACGCTCGCGATTTTTCAGATCACGCGTCGCCTTCTGGGCTGGTGTCAAAGGGTCCCCCTTCTTGCGGCCGCGGGCTTCTTGAACCTCTTTGGTGGGGTTACGAGAGGCATGGCTGGTGGCTTCGGTTGAAGAAGACATGGGTGAGAAGTTTTTTAGACGTCGGTAGTTGTGGTAATAATAAACAAAGTGACTGTGGGAAATGCCAAGTGGACGGTTATTTATACAGCGAAAGATATCCACAGCGCAAAAAACAAACACTCACCTGTGACATGGGAGGGATCTTCAGACCCTCCGTAGTCTAGTGGTTGTAGCCTCGCCTACAACAACTACGACTACGTGGGTCTCTGTTTTTCGGCCGTGTTCCATCCCGCCCATGGGCTTTATTTTTATCACATTAATTTTAGAAACGTCTTGATTTCTATCACATTAATTTTAGAAAAGTCTTACGTCTTTGATCTGGAACCCGTCTATCTAATCTCAAATGAAAGCGCACACAAAAACAAGGCCCCAACCCAGATTCGAACTGGGATCACCTCCACAAAGGCAGTTGGACTGGCAGCAAACTGCAGAGGTGTCATATACCCTTAGACCACTAGGGCTTTCTTAAATTCGTTAGCTTCTGAGCTACAAGGGGGTGCAGGAGGCCTTGAAAATAAAACATCGTCAAATTGTATGGATTCACCCAGATGCCAATATAAAAATAAAAAACCACTACGAAAAAATAAATTACAAAAGTCCTATCAAATCCACGGGTGCTGGCTGATGAACATCTCGACTTGCGCGGAGCTGCTGCCGAACAGCATCTGCGCGTCGTCATCCTGCAAGAACAGGCGGAAGGCGCTTTCGCTGATAAAAACTCAGTGGTCATTTGACGCACAAAAGAAGGGACTGACCGATTCTTGAAGACGATTCGATGCCCTCTCACTGCATACAGCGTGCGAGCGGTCGCATCAGCGGCATCAAAAAAGGCTGCAGCCTCCTCTATGGAGTGCGCCAGCAGCATTGAAGCACCCTCCGTCGCCTCCAACAGCTCGAAGGCCCACTCGCTAAAATATGATGAGCATAAAACTAAATGATGGGCGGCACGCTCACTGGCTCCTCAGCAGGCGGTTGCAGATGCTGACTGCATAGAATCGAACGGTGAATGCGTCTCCGGCGCCGTCTCCAGCGCCCTTGCGCCCAGCTTCGTCGAGTGTCGTCGGCTCATACTGGGGCGGTGAGCTTCGGCGAAGGCGTGTGGAACCCATCTCGGGCAGCAGGCGCGCGGGTATGGGAAGCCAGGGTACAGCTCCCCCCCGTGCTGTTCGTGACGAGGCCGAGGGCGTGGCGGATGAGGAAGGAGTTCGAGACCCAGACGAGGGCACCGTGGGTGAAGATGGAGGCCGCCGAGACCGGGTCGCAGGCGTGGGCGCGGGCACGGGTGAAGATAGAGGCCGAGAGCCAGACGAGGGCGAGGGCGAGGCCACGGCCTGCGTGCGGCGCATCTTGGTCTTTGACGGCGAGGAAGGCGGGGACTTCAGCGGCTGCTTCCGTGCAGAGTTTCCGGAGGGTTGATCGAAGAAGGGATTGGAGAAGGGGTGGTGGTTGGGTGAGGGCGTACGAGATTGACGTGGGCTGGGGCAAGGCGACGTGTCGAAGGCGGAGGCGGAATATGGAGGAGAGTCGGGGGAGGATGGAGGCGAGGATGAGCGCACGTTGTGCTCGTGCTGACCAGCGCAATAGCCACGCCAATTATCCATAATCCCCACCCAGTTCTGATGCGAGACGTAAGAGGTGTCCGGGGCGATCTTCAAGATCGCCTGGACCTGCGCACTGTAGCAATAGAAGGTCAGCAACTGCGGCGCGGATGGCCAGGCTTCACTTACAAGTGCGAGTAGATGCCAGCATACTGGCCACTCAGGACCGCGAAAAAATGACAGTCGTCCGCTTCGCCGTGTTGCGCGATGGTATGTGTAAGATTTGGGTGGGGAAAGTAGCTGGGTACACAGTAGACGCGATCCCCGGGGCCCGACGCATGCTCTAGGCGCACCATCGCGCCTGAGGAGCAAGTGAGAAGCAGAGAGTGGTTGGTGCACGTGGTCCGGCCCGAGCGCCTTGACTTCATAATTCCCGCATAAATGACCCAAAAAATAAATATTAATGTAGTCGCGGTACATTATGAAGCCGGTGTCTATTAACAAGCCTGCAGACGCTGGTGCCTCAATATCTGCTCCTCGAGCTCCAACTCCTTCAACCATTTGCGTTCGGTGGACTCGCTTTCATGGTGCCGCAGACAAAATTTATTGTCGCATCTGCACGTACATTCGGGGCAGTATGCAGGCAGCCTACAATCACATTGGTGCGGCATCGGGGAGCGGATACGTGGACGAGATTGACCAAAGCCGTAGAAAACGGCGCCGGGGATGGGCGCGTCGTCGCCATCATCTGAGCCCTCAGACTCGGAGGACCATTCCTCCATGTCCAGCACAGGTCGCGCCGTATTGGAGGCAATGGTGGTTTGAGGGCATGGGGGCGGAGCTCTGCCTTCGTGCTTGCACTGCGTCTTGACTATGAGCGGGCATTGGACGCGTTCCTCGAGCACTTCAAGACCGTCTTGCTCAATACATTTCCTGACAACATATCAGCTCCCAGCGGCTCAATGTAGTAAGGAAGGATACTTTGCACGCCTGAGGGCATCTGTGGCCTGTATTTTCCCGCGATGCCTGCAAATGAATGTGGGTTAGCGGAGAGGAAAGAATACAAGAAGAATGTACGCACTTCTCGCGGTACTTCTTCGCTGAATTTCGTTTGGCATCCTGCTGCGCTGGGGTCGAGGGTTTCTTGCGCACTCTTGGCTTTCTATGAGGGTCAGAGGAATAGAGCTACTGACAAAAACTAACCGCTGCATACGTTGTTGAGCAGAGGTGCACAGTTTTTTCTTGTGTCTGAATGCTGAGGTCAGAATCTTGACGTCGCCAGTGACAGATTGAGGGACTAACTTTGCTGAGTAGCACTGGAGAGCTTGTTGGCGACGTGCCAGCTTAGTTTCCGCATCGAGTCGAGGTCTTGGAGGCGACATGGGGAAGTCAAGGATGTGGTCGAATGCAAGTAATGGCCCAAAAGATATATTGAAACATGGCCAAACTATGCTCTGAAACCAGGAGTTCGCGATAATCACACCTTTTAAAATCTTTTTCTCCACAACCTCTGCAACGAAAAATATGCCCACTTGACTCAATACTCTTATCCACTGTGCGGATGCGTCAGAATATTTTCAGATATTAAGCGCGCGAGATTTCTTTGCAAACTTCGAAATACATATTTGCCAAAAACATGGCTGCAATTCTTCCAAATCATCTCCTGGGCTATAGGGAAGGATGGTCCCGAAATTTGAAACTAATCTGACGAGGGAGTGGCCAGACATGAGCCGCCCAATGTTGCACCATCAAAGTTACCACCTCCTGATCGAGCCTCGTTCACGCAGATTTACGAGTTGCAGAAGGTTATACGCAAATCGAAATTACATTTCTTCTAGCAGTTCATCTACAGTACTAAGAAGCCCAATACCCATCTGCCAGCGCGCCTCCTTGAGGGCAGAAATGCGCTCGTACTCCGCAGGATCCTCCTCTGCCAAATCCTTCTCTGTGCGGAAGCCGTTGTCAACGAAGCGGATCAGACCGCCCGAGGTGTACTGCGTGAAGGAGGCCCTTTGATCCCCCTTCTGGACCGGAAGATTTGAGTGCGCAATTGTCGCAGAGGGCAGAAGAATGGTGCTGCCGGCCGGAAACTCGATCACCAACTTCAAATCCCAGAGTACGAGGTGGCCTCCTTTCCGTGGATCGAAGAGCCCCAACGCCTGCACGGCACACCAGCCGAAAGGGACATTGAGGACGTCGCGATATTTGAAGGTCCAGCCGTTCGGACCGAAGTTGAAGGTCGCACAAGAGAATACGGATTTTGCGAAGTTGCGCTGTAGGTCGGGGTGGTGTCGGCGAAGGGCGCGGTCATGCTCATCATAGTAGGTGTAGACTCTGGGTGCCCAGAGGCCGAAGGCGGCTGAGCGTATTTAGTATCTGAGGATATGCGTAATGCGTTGCTTACCGCTGGCATAGATGGCCATGCGCCTGATATTGCTGTTGCCCAGGAGCCGCTGGATCAAGGCGCCATGCTCCCCATTATCCATACGGGATGGAACGCGCTGCCCTTTGGCGTAGTTGAGGCCGGCGTGCACGGCGGGGTAGAAGCCGCGGCGGTGCAGGGACATCTTCCTAGGAAAATGTGCGGCCTGCAATTCCGTCATAAGGGCCGTGAAGGCAGCAGCTGCGGCGGCGGCGTAGGTCGGGTCATCTGGCTGGCCAGCGAGGACGGCGATGATGCGCCCCTTCGCATCAACGATGGGGTACGAGTCCCTGCACAAAAGTCAGGGTGATGGGTGCAAGGAATGGTAAATGACTCACCTGCCATTCCATTCAATGAGACGAAAGCCCAACCCCAACAATTCAGACAGCGTGCGTTTTTTCTTGCTCCCGTATTTCTCGTCGGGGTCCTCCACCTTCGCGGCATATGCGCCATGTGCAGTGGGGAGGTCGGAGGCGTCCACAGGCACCGGGATCGCGCCCTCCGCAGAGACTTGAGCGCGTATAGCGGCGGGGAGAGGTTTCTGCGCCTGGCTTGTGGCATGGGCGTATCGATGATCGCGGCGCTTGGCATGGCGGTGGTTGATGCGCTTGGGGACATCCTCGAGTCGCACCCGCTTGGCCGGCGGGGGTGAAGGCGGAGGTGATGGCGGGATGCGAGAGCTGAAGGCTGCGAGAAGGGGGGGGGCAGGGGTCGCATCATCGACGCCGTAGATGTCGTTTGGGGGGTCGGAGTCAGAGGGTGAGTCCTCTACATCATCCTCGTAGTCGAAGGCCTCCCGCAGGAGGGAAGCGAAGTCGATCGTGGCGGAGCAAAGCGCGGTGGCAGTGAGCGGCCAGAACGGAGAAAACACGGTACCGCGCCGTGTCTGACGCGTTTCAGTGGCGGTTCGTGTGTAAATGGATAGCATACTTACTTTTCTCTCTTGAGGAAACCACATACTGGACCTAGGAGCGGGAAAGAGGGAGAACAGTCAGTAACAGAAATATATTGGACGAGACGATGGTGCCTTTGCTTCTGCATTGGCTGGCAGCTTACTGTGTTAGACCCAGGGAAGAGCCCGTGCGCAGTAAATTGCCAGCCAATGCAGAAGCAGAGGCACAAAAAAAAAAACTCACTGAGTGGCGCACTTGGTGGCTTGGTGGAAGGAGTGGCTATGCACGTGACCAGCACACTTGCCTTTTCTAGCCACACCTTGGCCACGCCCATGGCCCTCATCAAGAAGGGTGCAGGACGCGTTACCACCACCTCCTCCTCGCGTCGTGTCGCTGTTCGGACCACCGCCTACAGCAATGCAGGCCGCCCGGTGCAAATCACCCGGAACCTGACCGCACAACGGGTCAGGAGTTTGAAGAACGACGATTTGACGGCAGAGCGTCTGCGTCAACGGAGTCCGTGGCTTGCCTTCATAGTCCTGAAGAAAACATTGCTCATCATTTCTGCACAGATCTCACTGCAAACGAACGCATCGCAGAGGACGCCA